GTAAGGCAGAAGCAAAGCCAAAAGAAATCTGAGCAAATTTAAAAGATGTTTTTCCCCAGTGTCCATGAGGAACAAAATGAGAAATAATGGACTTAGACCTTAACAGGGAAGATTAGGTTACATAATAGTACTAACTAACTACAAAGCTGGCTTAACAGTGGAATTGATTACCTAGAGAGGCTGAAGAATCTTTCTGAGGCAGTTTAGACAGCAAGAGCTGTGCACTGAGCAAGGACTGGAGAAAATGATGTGGGGGGCCTTTTATCCCTATTTTTCTATTATTTCATCATTGCTTATTTAACCATAGTGCACATGATATATAAATAAAGGAGAATACATAGCTTAAATGAGCCATCACTTCAGCAACCCTGGTTTTCCATTTGCTGCGGAAAAACACAGCTTTTCTCCTTTTAACCGAGAAAAATAAGGATTTCCCCTTAAAAGGAGGAAGTCATGGATTTTCCCCTTTAAAAGAGAAAAATGCGGGAAGCGGTGGGTTTCCCTTTGCAGGCTGGTCAAGTTCCAGTCTAAAAGGGGCTGCTTGGTGTTGCCTGGAATGGGAGGAGGGTGATCGGAAGCAGGGGGTGCACACATGCACGTGGCAGCCAGGCAGCATGGAGAACATCTCCCGCAGCTCCTGCCAGGTAAATCTATAGGGGTGGGAGGAGAAGGGAGGGGAAGAGGGCGAGAGAAGGGGCACAGATGACACGGCAGGGGATGGGGATTCTGCACCCACCGTTGGACTACAGCCAGGCCAGACCAGCTTCAGGCAGGAGCACCCTCTGTGGCTATCACTACCAAGGCAAGGTGCCCCCTGCTCGCCCAGCTGTAGCCGGAGGTACAAATGTACCACCGCTGCCACTGCTTTGGTGCCTCACCATAGCAGTGTGGCACTCCCTCACGTGCTGGGTCCCACCTGTTGGGCCACAGAAGCACCTCCTCTGGAGCTGGTCCAGCCCGGCTGCAGCCCTGCACCCTACTGTGAGAACAGAAATGTTGGAGGGCACATACCCCCTCCACACACCCACTCCCTTCCTCCCACACTGGGGTGCTAGGAGCAGGGGGCAGCAGGGCAGGGCTGAGAGTCAGGAGTGAGGGGAACCAGCAGGGTGGTGGGGGGGAGGGGGCTGTGGGTCTGGAGCGAGGGGCACAAGTAGAGGCAGGGAGCTGTCTCTTGAGAGTGAGAGGCAATAACGTGGGCAGGGCACCAGCCTATCAGGGCCACTCAGTAACACAAAGCAGAGGGGGCGGAGGGAAAAGCCACAGTTGGATTTGCATCCTAGTGAGTAAAGGGGGCAGTTATGATTTTCCAAGCTAAAAAGCCCAAAATCAAATGCCAAAATGCTCTACTAGCAATTGAGGCACTAGTAGGCTACCAAGCTGCTTTAAAATTGTAAATATATTAGTAAAACATGGTGTTCAAATGATACCTATATATGTAGTGGCATTTCATTTTAAAGATGGAAAAATGGGGAATTTTGCTTTTTTAAATTGGAGAATTGGCGATTCTTTATCAGAGAATTTGCAGTTATTAAACAGAGAAAACCAGGATCCAAGGTCATCAACTTAGCTGATACCATACATGTGACATTTTGATGTTGGTAATGGAGACACCTTAACTTGTGAGTGTTGATTCTTAAATGTTTCACTGTATGAATGCAAGATTTTATAGATTTACACATGCCATGCAAAACCATTTTAAAGAATTATTAAAATATTTAATGTTATGATATCAAATTCGCAAAAGTAAAAACATTCCAAAAGTTAAGGTTAAAGGTTAACCCTGAACGTTGTCTCCATCTCAAATTACAAACAATAAAATCTCTCTGGAACTAAGCAACAAACACTTATTAGATTTCAAGTTAGGAAGGAAGCTGGACCTGATGATCTCACAAGGTCCCTTCCAGCCCTAAACTTCTGTGAATCTGAGAATAGGTTTTGGCTGAGTTGGTAAAGTACCTTAAAGATAGGCACAATTCTTTCC